ATGGAGAATGGCTCTCAAAGCATTGGCTTAGGGGGTATGTCCTCCCCGTCCTTATCACATGCTCTTTTCCACAGAGATGCAACATCGACAAATATCACATTTACATCCATTTCTCCCACAGGAACAGGCCACAAAGTCCCTCTCATATTTGCTGACTTTCACTCCCACTGCAGCAAGTGCAGGGGACATTAATATACATTGCTCAAAAAATACCGGTTGTTAATAATACAAAATATACTCACATATGTTGTAAATCAAGGTAAAGTAAATTTTAAAAAAAATTGACAAAACAAGCAAAAAGCTGCAGAAATACCCAAAGCATGAATCAGATAAGGCAAGAAGACAACATGTAGTCAGAGTTGCTCACACTGAAACGCTCTAGGCCTTTGTTGCAGGCCGCTCTGCAGCGACGGTGACCCGCCGTCCGCCGCCCGCACCGTCACGTTGTACTCCCACACCTGCTCCCGGTCCAGCTCGCTCGCTGTCACCACGCTGTAGTAATTGCCCTGCGACCTTTGCAGCCGGAACGGGACGCCCCCTTCGAGTGAGCAGCGCACCTGGCCATTCGCCCCTGAGTCTCGATCTTGTACGTGCAAAAGGGCCACGACTGTCCCCGAAGGGGCATCCTCAGAAATTTCGCTGAGCGCTGACCTCACTGAAATCTCGGGTGCGTTATCGTTTACATCTGTGACAGTGATCGCTACTTCTGCAGTGTCGGACAGGCCAGCCCCGTCCCGTGCCTGCACCTCCAGTTCGTAGGAGTCGCCTTCCTCGAAGTCCAGGCTCCGCAACAGTGTGATCTCTCCAGTCTCAGAATCTAAGTAGAATATTTCCAAGGCTTTCTCTGTGATTTTCTTAAACGAGTATTTCACATGACCATTCAGCCCTTCGTCAGCGTCCGTGGCCGTGACAGCAATGATTACGGAGCCCACGGGCACGTCCTCGGGCACTCGCACCGTGTACTCCGCCTGGCTGAACACGGGCGCGTTGTCGTTCGCGTCCAGCACCGTCACGCGGATCCGAGCCGTGCCCGTCCGTGCCGGATCGCCGCCGTCCATCGCCCTCAGCACCAGCTCGTGAAACGCCGCCTCCTCCCGGTCCAGCGCCTTGGCCAGCACCAGCTCGGGACGCTGATCGCCGCCGGGGCCCGCCTGCACGGCCAGCGAGAAGTGCTCGTCGCCGCTCAGCTCGTAGCTCTGCAGGGAATTCCGGCCCGAGTCAGGATCATGGGCGTCTGACAGGGGAAACCGCGAACCCGGCGCTGTCGTTTCGATCATTTTCAGCTCTGTTTCTGCCTCTCGAAACCTCGGAGCGTTGTCATTAATGTCCGTGATTTCCACTTCTATTCCGTAAACCTGCATCTGTCCCTCCACTATCAGCTCACAGTGCAGCACGCATTGCTGCACACTCTCACACAGCTGCTCTCTGTCGATCCTCTCCGCCGTCACTAAATGTCCCGTCTTCTCGTGCACAGTGAAATACTGCGTCCTACCTTTGTCCAAGATGCGAACGCCACGGTCTTTGAGTGCCGACAGCTGCAGCCCCAGGTCCTTGGCCACGTCGCCCACGAACGAGCCCTTGGGCATCTCCTCGGGCACCGAGTAGCGCAGCTGCCCCCACGCCGCCTGCCACGCCGCCAGCAGGACGGCCCCGAGCAGAGCTCGCTGCCGCCGGCCCCAGCGCCTCCCCGCCGCGCACATCTCCGCAGCGGAACCGCCGGCACCGCAGGACCGCAACGGCTCCCCACCGCCTACCGCCGATCTGCTTCACTGTCCTTCTCTGGCTCGCTGCTCCCGGTCTCTCTGCCACCGGCTATCCGTCTACTTCGCTGCAAATCGGTTCCGAACCTCGGGGCCGATCTCAGACCGCTCGGTCGGGCCAGTTATCCGGCGATCTTGTGATCGAGCGGGTCCGCAGCGGGCGGGGCTGCAGCGCTCCGAGCTTCCTCTCGCTCCTCTCGGTCAACAGCGGCGCCCGCAGCCTCCGCCCGGCACTGCAGGCACCGAGCGCCGCCCGCCCCGCCTTGCTCCCTGCAGGGGACAGTCGCCGCGGAGACGCCGCTTTTCGTCCAGCGCCGATCTCCTGCCTCCGCATTGCTCCAGCCGATCTCTGCCTTCATCCTCCACGCTATCACCACCGGGAGGAAGGCACAGGCATTCCGTGCGCGTGGTTCTTTAACCGCACGGCTAACTCTTCTCTTACCTATGACATTATTCATAAATTCAAACATATATTTCGTATTTTGCACTCTAGCTTATTGTTATTCTTATCCTTTTTGTTCAAAAGCATCTTCAACAACAGGCTCTCAGAGAGGAAACGGGAAGACACCATACCCCGAAAATACAGAGCTATCAACTTCTTTAGACAAGCGGGAGGACAACAATTGCATACTTCTTGAAGTCAGGGAGCTAATTGTTATACAGAAGTGAATTATATGGAGAAATAAAGATGCAGCTAAAACTCTCAAAGGAAACTTTCAGGATTTCAAATATTTGACAGCCTTTCCTAAGATACACGCCAGTGTTTCCTTAGTTTATACAGATTTACATTTGAACAAGTCATTCTAAGTTTCCTTTCCTCCTAAAATCAATGTGTAAAGCACGGTATTTCGTTAGGAAACTATTCATCTAAGTATTCCTTAATGATGTTCAAAGATATGCGTTTAAGAAAACAATAATGGAACCTTAGAACAAAAGTACAGCGCTTGAAATGGTGTTGACCACTAATCAATGTGCAAACGGGCTTGATTCAAGTGCCTAAACCCTCCTCTGGCCAATCTCCCTGATATGGGATACGTTCACATCTCAGATGTTTATCCTAGTAAACCAAATTGAAAAAAAAAAAAAGCTGCTATCGATATATACCCGACTTCTACTAAAATGCCCAATATCTTTGCACGAAGAGGACATAAAAATAAAAATCTCTGAAACAGAACTCTTTCAACACTCTCACCAGTCTACGAAATAAAGCCCATGAAGACCAAAACTGAACGAACTGCCAGCCAGGATGCATAAAGAAAGCCATCTACTCCCACTCTTGCATTCTCCCCCAAAACGAGAGACAATCTCTTTTTTCTACTCAGAAAAGAAAAAAGAGTCAAAGGAACCTTTCACATTCGTTTTCTATCTAAATCAAATAAGGACAAAAAAAAGTTTTAAGGAACGGGTTTGGCTAAAGCTATACACGAGTTCCAAGCACCTCCTTCCTGAAAAAAGAAATCAGGAAGGAAATATTTCGAACACCAGATGTCAATGTTTTCTTTTTTTTTTTTTCCCTTCTCGACTCCATCACGCAGAATCAGCCATTCTCCTTCCACAGAATATTAATCTGCTTTCAATGCTGCTAATTCATAGAGCACTAATTCATATAGTTCTAATTCATAGAGTTCGTGTGTGGAAGACAAACCCTCGCACCTGAAGCTGAACCTATGACCAAGGAAGAACCAAATGCTTCCTGCTCTCCATCAACAGGGGATAACCCGTTCCTTACTTCAGTCCGTCACAGAGACAGGACTGAGCAACTCACAAAAACAGGACTCTGGGAAACAAGGAGAAACACTGAGAAATGCCGCTACTAGGTGAAAGGAGAGCTGAAGTCACAGCCTGTCAGCTGAAGCTGTTACCGGGAAAAAAAAATTCCGGCGCTACTTGGAGACGCAGATGACAAATCCCCACTGACGCCACGCAAGGAATACCCGGGGGGAAATGACGATGATTAGGCGCGCCCGTCGTCACCACCTTGTACGAGCCGCCCGACGACGCCACGATCGACAGCGGCGCCTCCCCCGACAGCTCGCACGACACTTGACCGTTCTCGCCGGAGTCCCGATCCCGAACTTTCAGCAGGGCCACCACGGTGCCCACCGGAGCATCCTCAGGCACCGGGCTGGACACTGAGAGTAATGTGATCTCGGGCGCGTTGTCATTCACGTCCAGCACCTCCACCTCCACCATGGAGTGTGCCATCAAACCCCCTCCATCCTTCGCCTCCACAGCCAAGGTAAATGCTCGCGTGTCCTCAAAGTCCAAAGCCTCCTGCAGTGTGACAGACCCACTCTCTGCATCGACCATAAACTTCTGAAGTGCCTTGATTGTCATTTCCCCGAAGCCGTAGGTGATGCGGGCGTTGGTGCCTGCGTCGGCGTCTGAGGCTGACAGCTTTAGTACTTCCGAACCCGGCGGTGTGTTTTCGGGCAGGCTCACGCGGTACCGGTCCTGTTCAAATACGGGTGCATTGTCGTTGGCGTCTGTCACGTTGACCCGAATCTGGACAGTTCCGGACCTCACAGGGTCCCCGGCATCAACTGCTGTCAGCACGAACTCAAAGGAGCTCTGCTTCTCTCGGTCCAAGGCTCTTTCCAGTACTAATTCCGGCTTGCTTCCTTCCGGGCTGTCCTTCATGGCGAGAGAGAAGGACGGGTTGCTCGTGAGTTGGTAAGTCAGCAGCGAGTTGCTGCCCACGTCGGCATCTCGGGCCATGTCCAAAGGAAAACGTGCACCAGGAGGGATCCATTCACCAATCTCGAGGTCCAGGGCAGCCTTCCTGAAGGCGGGGGAATTGTCATTCACGTCCTCGATCGCCACCTCGACTTGGAAAATGTTCAGCGGGTTGTGCACCAGCGCCTCGAAGCTGACGGAGCAGGTCGCCGACTCGCCGCACATCTCCTCCCGGTCCAGCCTCTCATTCACGTACAGGTTCCCGTTCTCCTCATTCACCGTGAAGTATTGCTTCTCGTCGCTCAGCCGCAGCTTGCGCGCCGGCAGCTCGTCCGCGCCGAGCCCCAGGTCCCGCGCCAGCGGCCCCACGAGCGAGCCTCTGCCCAGCTCCTCGGGGATGGCGTAGCGGACCCGCTCGGCCGCCGCCCGGCCCCACACGCACAGCAGCACCGCGGCCAGCAGCGCTCGCCCGCCGCCCGGCCCAAGCCTCTGCCGCCGCCTCACCGCCATTCTCTGCCCGCAGCGCTCGCCGCGCTCCTGCCTCCTGCCGCTGCCCTGCCTCCCTTCCAGCCGCTCTCGCCGCCCACAACACACACCGCTCAAAGGCTGCGAGCTCGCCGCGCCGCCTCTCGCCGCCTCTCGCCGCCTCTCGCCGCCTCTCGCCGCCTCTCGCCGCTGCTGCTGGCGGCGGTGCCGCTGCCGCTGTGGCCGGCGCCGGGCGAGCGAGCAGCCTGCGGGGGCAGGACGCTGCGGCGGCGGCGGCGGCGGCTCCAGCGCCGCTCGGCGGCGGCCAACAGCGACACCCGGAGGCGCCGCCGCGCCACTGCAGCCGCCGGAGCGCCGCGCTCAGGGGGGCCCGGCTTTGGGCGGGGCTCAGCGGCGGCACCGGCCCCGGGGCTCTCCCGCCTGCCCGCACCGCCACCAGCTCCTGACT